GTCATTTTTATAGCGCCTAAACGAGCTATTTTTCAACATCAATATCTATTTGTGTCTATTTTACATTTAAAAACCTAAAATGGAACTAATATGCCTAATTTATTTTGTCTGCGGCTTCTTTTAAATTTTTTCTTCTGTCCGCAAAACATTTTAAGTTGCGTTAATCTGTAAGATCGTCAGAAATGAATATACAGGACAAGGATCCTGTTGTAAAAATATCCATGTCCTGATTCGTGGAAAAGCTTGCCTCCGCTTCCAAGATAAAGCGATTGAATTTCCTCGAAAGAAATTCGCGGTGGTTGTAGGGAGGCAGCATCCGTACATAAACATCGATGTTTCAAAATTAGAAGTTTGTGCACCGCGAACGTAAAGCACTATCGAACTTCTACGCATGCAACAGATGCACTAAGGTGCGAAACGTAAAACTGCGCATGCACAGAAGACTCGATAGTACTTTATCGTCGACGGCTGGCACACACTCCCTAATAATATGTCGATGTTTAAAAAAAACTTCGTCAAAAATCTTCGTTATTAATCTGACTTATATAGCGTCTAATAATTTGGCGCCAAAGAGAAAGAAAATAATAGAATTAATATAATAAAGATGGATTAAAACGTAAAATAGAATAGTATAAACTAAAGATATTAACTCTCACAAAGAAAGAAAGACATCACAAATATGCTTATTATAAATAATAAGAAAAGTAATACATACAATAAGACTTACTATATTATTTTGTTGACGAAATTGCAATTAACACTCGTTTATTTATAACTAATATAGCCCCCTATTTTTATTTGACACGTTTAAAAACCAGTTTGCCACACGAATAGACACAGATGTTTCTATCTTCACGTCCTCACGAGAAACTGAGTTTTGAAAGCGTAATCTCAGGGGTTCAGAGCTTCCTCCGCCGCCGTTGGCCCAGAAAGGAACGGAAAAGAGGGAAACGCCTTGTGGACCGACGTTTATGGCGCCTCATACGGTGGCCCTCCCGCGACATAACGAAGACAGTCTAGGGAAATATCAGGGGACCGGGCCATTCGCTCAGCCGAGATGCTCGCTGTGCTCGATGAAGGTTCGTTCCGGTCGAACACGTGATCATTGGTTAATGCTCAGTGATTTTCTCTCTACAAATGTAGATTATTGTACTGTTTTATTTTACAGAAAAAGTCGAAAACGTAAAACATCGATGGTTTAAAAACATTTGCTTAACATCGAATGTTTTCAAAACATCAACATCTATGTCGCATCCCCTAGGTGTTGCATGGATCGTGGTGGTTGATGGATCCTTTTTCACCAAGCTGAGCATTGTCTTTGGCTTATTGATGTTTTTCTTCGACTTTAGTGCGTGAACAGTGTCTAGAGAAAAATTTTACTTGTTGGTTTTGTTTAAAACGTTATGTGTTATTCGATTGAAACACATGCCGAGATTTTCACCTAAAGCTTCTGCTTACTAGGGGGACAAAGTGATTTGACAATACTGATTTATAAAATATTGATTTATGTTCTATCTTTAAGAAACATACATGCAATAAATTCGTAAAAATGTATATTCTTACTTTCCGCCTTACGAATTCTTACTTAAGCAGATAAGTTATGCAATTTCTGTATGTTTCTTCTTTTATTTGTTCCTGTTCTCCAATTAAAAAGCCTAAAGGAGTGATGAAATACTCTCAGACACTACAAGCATATTTAAAACCTAAAATCCGGTTTCTGCTTATATCTTTTCGCGGGCCACAATAAAATGTCACCGCAGGCGCGAGGATTGGGACAATCCCATGTTTTATGGGCTTCCGCTTTCGAGAACAGAAACCTATCCGGAGGACGGGCCAGTGGTGGCAAACTTACGATTGAGCACTGGTGGATGCGATTAATAATTGAAAACTAGTCAATTAAACAGAACATTATAAGCAGCTTGGGAGAAAAGTGTATCGAAGCACGGTAACAAGGACTAGGCACAATTAACGTTTCAGTGTTCGACTAATCTATTGTAGGAAAAAGGAAATAAAAATTGTTTTATTGTTTTACACCACAGACCCAGAAATTGAAAACAATCCTGAAAAATCACATTTGTGTTTTGAGGAAATTTTGGGATTTTTTTTCGTGCCAAGAAATCAGATAAAAAAATGCTGAATTGAAGAAAATAAAAATAAAAACAAACACGTTTTTGAGCTGTAGAGATGGAGTGGTAGATCTCAAACAAGATTAATATAAAAGTATTGAAATAAAATATTTTCAACATTTGAGATTGTTCTATGTATCTATCTCTTTGAGTGTACTTTTACAGTTCTACTCGTATTAGTTTTAGAGCTAAGAAACCATTCAAAATTCATTTTATATAGTCATAATTCAAACCACTCATTTGTCATTTGCGTTTTGAGAACTTGTTAACCATCTTATCCTGCGTACTCTTTAATGAGAGATACACCATTGCTGAACTTTCATTCATTATGAGATATGAGAGAGAGAGAAGAATTTGTCCCGTCGTAATTGAACCAATTTGTTTATTGGAATATCGGCTTCTTTAGAAACACCAAATACAATTTTCACACTTGTATTTTACTTTTTATTTCTGTTCAAACTTTCGCACTCCCTAGAAAGACTAAATGAAACGACCAGGTGTTATTTATTTGTTTATTAATTTTTTACCACCAGTTGTTTATGAAAATAGACGTATCGAATATTACACAAGTTGAAAAAACTATTTCATTGAAAATTTCCATGAAACAATCTTGGAACTGTATTTGAAGGAACCTTATTTCAGGTTTTGAGGAAAAATGTGACATGTTTTAAAAAACGCGAAAATTATGTCTTTCACAGAATTTGTAGTCATCTTCACGTATCTCCTTTAACTAATACTTTTGCTCTTGTACAGTCGAACATAAGTGAATAAGAATGACATAAAAAATGACATGACACTTTACTACGATAGTTAAATTAGTTATGTAGAACTTGATATTTCAGTATACCCGATTGATCAAAAACATTTTTTTAAGTTTTCTATAATTTCGCATCCTTAATAGTTTAAGCAAAATGAAACTTGCCGGAAAGAGTCATGCAAATAACAATTTTGATACACCAAAATGTAAGAAATAATGAAACTGTTTATGGCCAAACGGTAACCTTAATTTCTCCTATAATTGCATATACAAGAAAAATTGATCAAGAGCGCTTTTACCTTTTTAGTTCTTAATGTTACTTGTTGCTTCGGTCCCTGTCTCACTTTGTTCATAACCACATCACCCACAATGTCACACTGCAGTCATGGAGCACCAATGACAACCTTCTTGCCTGCGCTGCGTTTATTTATTTATTTTTTTTTCTCGTTAAATAAGATACGATAGTTTTTTTTCACTGCCGCTCTCGACGATAGCTCTGGGCGAATACAGAGTCAAAGAATGTCCTAGGAGTATGTTTAGCTGGTGTCCAAAAGAAAACTAGTCGAACTGTACAACAGTGCACCTTTCTCGCATACTTTTTAAAGGTCCATACGTCCATATAGCCGTACAGTCCCTTTTTTCAAATTCTGTCTCGTACTTTTAAAAAACGGGACGCCACAATGACACCGTTTTTGTAACAATGGACTAATCCGCATATAGCGCCGGTCAACCAATTTTAAATTTATCATAACGAAATCCGTGGTTTGCATTAGTTTATAAAACAATAAAGCGCGAGAGAGATTCATACGCTCATGTAGCACCTAACCAGTGCTCACAACATTATGAAACCAAGAAGGAGAGATTCAGTTGTACTTCAAGGAAGGAATATCTATTCAGTTGTGCTTCTAGAGAAAGTCAAAATATTTTGAAAGACAGAGTAGCAATGTACGCTATTAGTTTACCGCCCTTAGTGATTTAATGAATACTGTAAGTAAGTTACTTTACTACGAAGATTTGATTTTTACCTAACGTCGATTGTAGTCTAGATAATAGTAATTTAGCCTACAATCGCATTTTACAATATATAGGAACAGATTTATCAAGCTTTTTTCCGTATTAAGGCCCCATAAACTTGCTTTTCTTGTATGAAAAACCGCGACTTTGCCCCGGCACAAAATGTACAATTTCTCATGTTTTTTAACACGCGCCGACCTGAGCCTAGGCAAGTCCACAGAAAATAAATTGAAGAAGCTTATTTTCACTCGCGGGCAAATACGTCAAGCCGGCGCGTCCTACAAACTCGTGAAGTTCTTCCACTGACAGCATTATTTTCGATATTTAGCACTGATCGAATGGCGTTTCGCTCTAGTCGCCTATCAGCTTCTGTTCACTAGATTTTGCGCTTAGGCTCTCTGATGGCGCGATCTCTTGCGGTTTGGTTGTGACAATCCTTCAGCGACTCGACATAGATCCAAGTCGTACCCTACTGCCAGAGGTGCCGAGTTAGACCGATAATCTATATCTCATCCCGCTGTTACCGCGTTGTTTGTCACATGTTCATTAGTCTCCGTCGACACTTGCAGTTATCAACAGCTATGCACAAGAGTACTGTTTAATCAACTACTCAAAGAGATAGTGTGAAACCGATTAGCACTCTATCTTATTAACGAGAACGACGACCAGTTTCTATCCTTTATAGATCAAGTGGTCCATAATATGTAGAAGATACTGTTATCTTGTGTTGAGAGTAGACGTTTCGATAAAATCATCTAAATGGTCTAATTGCTTACTTTTCGACAAGGGTGCAATTTCGTGATAAGACATAGAGTGGCTTATAAAGTTATTTGAGCTTCCGATAAAATCTCTCGCATCTTACGGATGGTTCGATGACACTCTGTGTTCACTGATCTAGCTCAGATGTTGAGTCTCTTCGTCGTGATGGCTGTTCTGCTATCACCAAACCAACACACAGACAGCCACAAAATTTTTATGCAATAGACACCGTCCTCTGAAGTGCACCGAAAATAGGAACTAAGCACGGACGCTCAAGACTTGCATACCGCAAGGTTGTTTGTTCAGCGATTTATTGTTAGTAAGTAACGATAGGGAAGTATTCAATGAGTACAACCAAGATGACAAGGTAAGAGATAACAGCAAAAAGATCGCCTACTTGTTCTATGTCACGATTATAGAGTTTCCGTATCTCAATACCAAGCTTATCTTACATTTAAAATTTCTGGAATGGTGATGGTGATTTTCTCACAGAACCCTGGTCACTGACTCGTGTATGCAGATCTCCTGCGATGCGAAGTTATATCTCGAATCTACCTTGTAGACATCCCTGAATGCGACCAAATTTATGTGTGCTCAGAATATAACTATGCGCTCCCACGAAGTACGTCGAATTCTAACCCACTACAGTGATCGTCGACATCGCGCTCAGACCCTGCTCGTCATTAAAGAGTTTTTTTTAATAATCAGTTGACATGCAATGTATGCTTGAGCCACGTCGGTAGATGTCTACTGAATATAACGGCCTCGAATAAAAAAACAAATGTTTAATATTTTTTCCTAGATAATAGACTGCGTGCTCCTAGCGCCGACGTCTGAATACTGTGTCGGAGCTACGAGTTAGTGAAACTCGGATTCGGAGTCACCGACAGCTGTCGTAAGCAGTACTGCATCAGGTCACACGGAGTCTACATCCGTGCTAAGGACGCAAATGGTGCAGTTGCTTGGCTGGTTGTACGCATGTCTGTCTCTGTATCCTGCGAAATGTTGCCTATTTTCTCATGTCGCAATTCCCAAGCATATCCGTTGACCTTGAGCTTTCGCACTCACGACATATTGCTACTTCACACAATTAACGTTACCTCGTACTTAACGCTATCTCTGCGTTCTTCTGACTATCTACTGCAGCTCGTCGACTTTCGTGCACCTCAACTTTACGACTTTCGTACCGACTTTTCAGGTTTCCAACTTCGGCACTTCGCATATCGGCTTCGACTCGCAATCTGATACTATTACGACCTGAGCTACACCACACTATTCGATCTCATGGCTTATGCCGCCATCAGCTATGTATTCACCAGAGATACCGAACTTGGTATCCTAACACTTCGACTTCGAGCTTACACGGTTACGGCTTAAACATCACTGTCGAGCTGTGCGTCCCTCCTGCTATTCGCCGACTACGAACTTACGACTAACGAACCCATCGACGTCGACCAATCGGCGCATGTCCGAAGCCCATCCGTGGAGCCTTCGCTATACGCCTTATCGCCTTCGCCTCGCCTTCGCCTTCGGCTGGGATTCGACTACGAACTATCGACTATCGCCTTCGTCTTCGCTTTGCCTTCGCTTCGCCTTCGCTTCGGCTTTCGCTTCGGGGCGTCGTCTTGGGCGGGGCTTTTTCTTTCGACTTCGACTCGACTTCGGCCTCTCGACTTCGACATCGCTTCGACTAATCGACTTCGACTTGACTTCGACTGCCCTTCGCTGGGCTTCGCTTGGCTTCAGCTGGCATTCGGCTTGGGCTTCATCTTGGCTTGGCTTCGCTTGGCTTCGGCTTCGGCTTCGACTTCTCGACTTTCGACTTCGACTTCGACTGCTGACTTGACTTCGACTTCGACTCGACTTTCGACTAGCGCCTTCGACTTCGCCTTCGATTCGCTTCGGCTGGCTTGGCTTGCGCTTGGGCTCCGCTTGGCTTCGGCTTCAAATTTTGGCTTCGCTTCGACTTCGACTACGGGCTTCGGCTTCCGCTTCGACTTCGATCGCTTCGACACTACGTCTTCGACTTCGACTTCGACTTCGACTTGGACTTCGACTACGGTACGGCTCCGGCTTCGGCCTTCAGCTTCCGGTTTCAGACTACGCTTTGGCTTCGACCTTCGACTCGACTTCGGCTTCGACTACGCTCGGCTTCGACTTCGGCTACCCTACGGCTTCGCCATTCCGCCTCCTTGCCTCGGCTTCGCTTCGGGTTTCGAATATACGGCTTCGGTTTCGTACTACCGGCCTTCGCTCGACCTACGATAATTCGGCTTCGACTTCGACTCGGGCTTTGCCTTCGCTTCGCCTTTGCTTGGGGTTCGGCTTGGTTGGCTTCGGCTTCTGCTTCGACTTTTCGACTTCGGCTCGGCTTCGCCTTCGGCTTCGACTTCGACTCCGACTTCGGCTTCGGCTTCGGCTTCGGCCTTCGACTTCGACTTCGAATTACGCTACGAGCTTCGCTTCGCCTTCGGCTTCGACTACGCCTTCGCCTTCGCCTCTCGCCTTCGCCTTCGCCTTCGCCTTCGCCTTCGCCTTCGCCTTCGCCTTCGCCTTCGCCTTCGGCTTGGGTTTACTCGACTTCGACTTCGCCTTCAGTCTTCGCCTTGCCTTCGCTTCGCTTCGCTTCGGCTTCGGCTGGGGCTTCGTCTTGGGGCTTCGACTTCGGATCTCGACTTCGGCTTCGATCGAAGCGTCTTCGACTGCGACTTCGACTTCGACTTCGACTTCGGCCTTCGCTCTTGGGCTTCGCTTGGGCTTCGGCTTGGGCTTGCGGCTTGGGCTTCATCTTTGGGCTTGCGGCTTCGGCTTGGGCTTCGGCTCGGCTCGACTTCGACTTCGACTTCGACTTCGACTTCGACTTCGACTTCGACTTCGACTTACGCCTTCGCCTTCGACTTCGGCTTCGGCTTGGGCTTGGGCTGTGCTTACGCTTGGCTTCGCTTGGGCTCGCTTCGACTTCGACTACGGCTTCGCTTCGCTTCGACTTCGACTCGGCTTCGACACGGCTTCGACTTCGACTTCGACTTCGACTTCGACTTGGACTCTCGACTTACGCTACGGCTTCCGGGCTTCGCCTCGGCTTCGGTTTCTACTACGCGCTTTTGTTCGCCTTCGACTTCGACTTCGGCTTCGACTACGGCTTCGGTTCGACTTCGACTACGCTACGGCCTTCGCCTCCTTTTGCCTTCGGCGTCGCGCTTCGCGTTTCGACTACCGGGCTTCGGTCTCGACTACGCTTCGCTTCGACTACGATACGGCTCGACTTCGAGCTTCGGCTTTGCCTTCGGCTTCGCCTTTGCTTGGGCTCTGCTTGTGCTTGGGCTTCGGCTTCTGCTTCGACTTCGACTTCGGCTTCTGCGCTTCGCCTTCGCTTCGACTTCGACTCGACTTCGCTTCGCTGCCTCGGGCTTCGACTTCGACTTCGACTACGCTACGCTTCGTGCTTCGCCTTCGGCTTCGACTACGCCTTCGCCTTCGCCTTCGCCTTCGCTTCGCCTTCGCCTTCGCCTTCGCCTTCGCCTTCGCCTTCGCCTCGGTTTCGGTTTCGACACGCTTCGTCTTCGGCTTCGGCTTCGGCTCGACTTCGACTTCGACTGTGTGAAATGCCCCTAATCCTTCGGTAGGGGACCAGTGTTCATTTGCATAAAAGATATATGATGATCTGTTTGACTTGCAGATTTCTATGCTAATAAAGATCTTGAATAGTTTGTGCTTCATATTTATCCTCATCTAGTTCATTCATTGTAAAATTAATTAATTTCCATAATTAATATTGATCACCAAAGAAGTAGTATATGTAAGTAGGTTTGCACTGGTCATCTCAAATTTTAAAATCTTCTTGCAAATTTTTAATAAACAGACTAGAATTACTTTTTTTCAATCTCTTTACTTCAATTTATAATTTAAATTTTGCATTACTTTTTAAAAATTAAAAAATAAATGTAAATGTAAAAAAAGTGAGCTTATAATTGAAAAGTAAAATATCTCTATTGTTCATTTAGCATTATTGGTATTGCGGTTTTTTAGCGATGAATAATTGCCTGTGAATGTGGCAATCAAGTTGTCTTCAATATCCTAAGCTGAAAGTTGATTCCACAAGATGTTTCAGGATCCAATGAATCAAGGCCCATTTAAGGAATAGCATTTTGAAGAGAAAAATATTTTAAAAAAATATAAAATTTCATAATTATTTGTCGTACATACTCTGCTGTCTAAAACTGAATTTATGTATTGACTTTTTTTTCAGGAACAAAATGTCTCAACCACTCTGCAAAGGCGGGCGCAAACTCTGTGCTATGTTGAGAACAAGACTCCCTGGTCATCGCATTTCCTTATTAAAAACTCTTCGAGAAACAGCTTCATCGTATGCTGCCCTGGATAAAAAAAAGCTCACTAATTATGATAACTTCTGGAACATCCTTCGAAAGTTGAACAGCCAGCAGTCCTTACGATCCGTGAAGTAATAAGAACCAGCAAAGACTCCCTCAAATGATCTCACTGATTGAAATCTGTCTCTGTATGGGCGATTTCAGTGGAAGATTATACCTGACACATTCCAATACCAAGCAACTCTAGAAACACAAGAATTTCTAGGTGTGACAATTAATTGTTATTGCTAAAATCATTGGAATTTAAACTTTTATAAACAATTTTTCAAAATGAAAGCAAAGTAGGATTGAAATTAACTTTTTTCGGTTGTCACATTTCATGTTTGCCTATAGCTGGACTAACTTTCCTTCGTTTTGAAATATAAATATTAGAAACTTAATTGTACATGTATTAATTTGTACTATTCTTCTTTCTAAAGTAGAGGATATTTCAAATGAATGTACAAATATGTACCTAGTATTTTATGTTTTACTATGGGACCATTTCATTTCATGTGTTCTTGTTTATTAAATGAAATAATTTATAAAAATTGTACAATAATACTATCTGAACTGTGATTCAAGTGGTATTGTATACTGGTGCACTTTGTACTTCTCCGGTTTGAATAGAAAAAAATATTTCTGGATGTTTTTTTTATACAGATTAATTATATAAACTATTTTGCTTCAATGTTGTTTCATAATTTGAAGACTATAAAAAGATATGCAGAGATTTTTATATATATTTATGACTAACTAGTGGTGTATAATAAATCTTGTTTTTTATGGGATAATTTGACATGAGATTAGAAAGAGTTGTGCACTAATTATCCTTTCTCATTTACGAAGTATTTACCCATGTTAAATATGAAACTGGTGTTTAGTTTGTAGTCACTTCTTGACATCAAAATTTAACTCACAAAATGCATGTAAAATGGAAACTATGCTGTCATTAAAAATATTGACTAGCAATCTGTAAACTACATTCCAGAAAATTGTCAGTAGTATTGGACAAAGATGCATTTTGACTGCAATAACTCAATGATTTTATATGCAAAATAAAATGGAAAAAATTTTCAGTGTAATGAGGTGTTTATAGGAGCTAAAGGAATGTTTGTGTATAAATAATATATCCTTTGAGTACAAAAGTATGGTGTTCATTAGAACTTAATTTTTTTATTGTTTCTCTTTTTAATATTCCGTCTTTATCATTTTCCTTTTCTAATTCTATTTCTATCCTTCATTACTACCTGTCCATTTCAATAATACAAGATCAGGGTAGAAAATTTCCAGGATAATGGAAATTATACATTTCATTCAAATTAAATTTTAGGTTTCAGTATAAAGTATAATACAGTATTCTTGTTTCCTCATTTCTCCATCTTTTTATGTTCTCTCAAAATGTAACAGTTTTCAGTGCTTCATTTATCTTACCAAATAATTCCCAAATAAACTGTTAACAAATTTTCTGCCTTTCTTTAATCTCATTCAGTGTCCAATTTTTGAGATTTGTCAATAAATAGAAATTTGGTGGGGTCAGATAAGGTGAATCTGTTGGATGCTTAAAGATCTTGGAACTACCTCTCTGCAAGCACTTACCATATACAGGGAGTTTTTTAAGCTGAAGGTTCATATTTTGCAATTTTGGTGGCCTTCTTTAAATAGGTTAACATTTTTGACAACTTGTATATTCTTCTTTTTTTCTTTAAGGTTAAGGAATGGTTTGAGGTTAGATGATCCAAAAAATGTTCTCATAAACACATTGCAACCAGAGGTAATCTAATTTCTGTGTTTCACAAAGAAAATGATTTTCGGAGTCTTGGAAGAAATTTCATACAATGAGCAGTAATATGTAGAGGTCCCAATTTCCAGCCTTGTGATATATGAAGATTACTATCGTATTACTTCAAAAATCAGTGAAATGCATGGCCGATCCATCTGAAGTAATAGGGCAGACCATCACTGGAGGCATCATCAAGTTATGTTGGATGATTGTCATACTTCTGATTCTAAGTTACACTATCTTAAATTGTGTATAAATGATTAGTGATGTGTAGAAGCTAAACTAGCTTCTAAATGTAGCTTGAGAATACGCACATTTTGTTGAACTCTCCTTTTGGTTGTAGTGGTAGGAGTAGAGGAAAGGGTGAGTTATTATTCTGTTAGCAATGCAGAAAAATTAAACCTGCAGTTTGTTTACCGTTGCAAAGACGTTTTCAATCACTCAGTACAAAAATGTCTACTTCTTCAAATGTTATTAATCTCGTACTTTTTTAAATTTTATTTTTATTTATCTTTAACTTTTACTCATCCTTCAACTATTTATAGTTGAAGGATGAGTAAAAGTTGGGAAAAGATTTTGGAGCTCAAGAAAATGAGTTCAGATGGTGTTCTTTGCCATATGTCACATACAGATTTTACTATTTTTTGACTAAATAAATCTAAACTTATTTGATTTGATTAAAAATGTTGACCATTTCCATGCCTTCTTGACCACCAACAATTGATATGCTTTTGATTGACATTTAAAATAACTTCTGATTTTAATACTTCAATGATAATAACCACAGACTTTATAATAATTGAAACAAGAAAAATGGCTAATTGCAGCGAATTTGCAGAAAATATTAGTCATTATATGTATTTCTAATTATGAAAGCAAATAAATTATATTTACAATATGGTATTTCTCATACATTTAAAAATACTTTATTTACTATATCATTCAAACAATAGAACTCAAATTAAACATTTTGTAACATGTATTAGGTGTTTCAGATGTCACTGTTTCTGCTAAATTTCCAAGCTCATGTGATAGCACTTGAACAGGAACTTAGGCACTGATGGTTTCAGATGCAGTGATGTATTGAGATTTGCACAAACAATTATAAATTATACCTCAAAAAGATTGTATTAATTTTAAATACTTCCAAATACTCACATGAATATCATATTGTGATCATAACTGTAAACTTGAGGAATGCTATATTTTGAGAATAACCAGCAAACCTGCTGTTTGCAGTGCACAGGCTAAATTGAAGGAATTGAATAACTTCCAAGTGTCCCATAAGATCTTACAAACTAAGTAAAAATGAGAAAATGTAATTGATTGTAACAGCCTCAGAACTCTATTGTTTCACCAGTTAATGGGATATTGTTAGAGTAAGCTTGAAGAAGGTTTAACTTGTCAACATTCTGAAATAGTTGTTTATTTTTCAGACTGCGGAAAATACAATTTTCTACACATTGAAGTATATCTGTTATTGAATCCTTCTTTCTTGCTGTTTAAATAACAATAAATTCACCTTAAAATGTTTTTCAACTTTCTGGCCTATGTTGGTTGTGTATTTCTGGCCTATGTTGATGATTTAAACACCTTCTTGCTTCCCACTGTTGAGCAAATCAGGAATGATGATTGCATCTTTCAACATGTTCGAGCATCTGTTCATACTGCTCAACCAGTGGTGGAGTGATTACATGAAAAATAACATTCCTGTAATGGACTGGCCTA